AGTTTTATAAAGTTTTTCTTCTTCTCTTTTTTAGTAAATGTCTACAGGATAAGGGGTTACTAGCCCATTGCTCCCGGCATTTTAGTCGCCTCATGCGACACGCATGGCTTACGGAGGAAAGATTCTTTTCCACTTCCCCATGGACAATAGAAAAATAAAGAAGAACAAGAGCTATTTAGAAAAAGGAGAAAAACCTAGATGTATGTATATATATATGCATGTGCATGTCTCTGAAGTGTGACCAAAGTGTAAGTAGGAGTAGCAAAATATCCCTGTTATCTAGCGTGTTTATGAGACAGAAAAAAAACCAGCAATCCTACCATCATGCGAAAACAGTTACAGGTTTCTGTTTCACAGTCATCTGGCAGGACGGTAATACTTCCCTGGGTGGTTGCTGTCTACCAACCTACTACCTACAAAATTATATATATATATATATATTATATATATATATATATATATATTATATATATTATATATATATATATATATATATATAATATATATATTATATATATATATAATATATATATAATATATATATATATTATAGTATATACTTGTTATTTTTATATATTACATAAATCACAAATCACAAAGCCCCTGTTCCTAATTCAGCACATGGATTCGTACTCACTAATAATAATCGTCCAGTCAGTTGCTCCGCCTCAAAGTGCTCTCTGACCAGTTACGATGGAAGGTTTCACTTATTGGTCAGCAGAAAAGCAACTGTTAATGTAAATATTTGGCCCTCTTGTGAAAGATATAGGTACCATAGGAGATACTATATGTAAAATATTATGCCATAATTTGTATAGTATCTGTACGTATGGAGATGAAAAAATATATGTCAAATTTTATAGCAGCAGTAGTACAATACCTTAACTCTGATGGAGGGACGACGATGTTACACATCGGAAGGTCGTACGAGTGATGTGTACGTAGTTCTGGCCAGACAGCTATTGAATGAACAGTGGTGAATGTGTTTTCTTTTTTCTTTTTCTTGTTTTGGTCAACCTACCTTAGTAGGAATCTGTTGAAATAAAAAAAAATAGAAAAACATTATCCATGAAACAATTTAATAAATTAATAAATAAATTCCAATAAAAATGGAAAAATTGAGAAAAGAAAGTAAAAAAAAGAAAAAAGGTTCTGAAGAAACAAAAACATATTAGTCTATGATCCCTTTTATTTGAGTTTTTCTAGAATCACTTAAAATATGAAGCTTTTGTTCAATCTTTTGAAAGTGAGAGCAAATTCTTGTAGGTAACCTGTAACAATTGTCACTGAGTTATTTATTAATTGAATCCGTATAAGTTACATGTATACTTTAATTTCTTATATTATTGTTATTATTATTATTATTATTATTATTATTATTGTTATTATTATTATTATTATTATTATTATTATTATTATTATTATTATTATTATTATTGTTATTATTATTATTATTATTATTATTATTATTATTATTATTATTATTATTGTTATTATTATTATTACTACTGGTGTTTTTTAATTTATTTGTTTAATTATATTTCTTTTTATTTACTCCTGTTATTAGTCTTGTTCCTTTTTATCATCATCGTCATCAAGTTTGTTGAGAAGTATCACCATTTAAGGACAGTCATATTTAAAGCGATCACCATTTAAGGACTGCTTTGCTAACAGTTGCCACTATTTAAGGACTACTATGCTAATAGATAAATTTATTAACCTACGCTTCAGGAGTAAGCAAACTTTAGATTCTTTTACTGACCCAAGCTTTCTTCTATTCATCCTACAGTTGATGCAGGCATCCTTAAAGCAACTCCATGTTAACGCAAGCATCTTGAAGCCATCCTACGGTTTACACAAGTTTTCAAGCTGATTCAAGTATCCTTAAAGCTATCCTATGAGCTGATGTTGGCCTTCTTCAAGTTATCCTATGGCTAACGAAAGTATCGATCAAGTCCTCCTACGACAGACGCACGCATCCTCCAGATTTTGCTACGAACGATACTAGTATTATTTAATCAGTCCTATGGTTCACGCATGCATCCTTCAAGTAATGATATGGTTGGAACAAGCCTTCTTCTTCAAGCAATCCTACAGCAGATAAACAGAAAAAAGAATTCTTTGAGACATCCTATAGCTGACACAAAAAACATTTTCCGTGTCATCCTAAGAATGACGAAAGCGTCCATCACGCACTAATTCGATTAACGAAGACATCCTACAAGCTATCCTATGGCTTAAGCCAACATTCTTCAAGCTACCTGTTGTCCTTTTCCCCGCAGCCTCAAATTTCCACTTGTCTTTCATTAATAGTCCTCTCCTTCCATCCAGCAGCATCTTGTAATTATTGTCAATAATTCTTTGTCAATAATGTTTTCACATTTCAATTTTGGTTTGTATATATTTGAGAAGAATGACAAAAACTCGCCTAATCACTTATTGTCCCAAAATGTATTTTTTTTCTTTTTAATATTTCTTGTACAGAATGTTTCTCCCACTTTATTTCATTTAAGTAATTTTACATACTTATGCATGAATGTACTGTGGATACATGTATCTATAAATATATTAATATGTATGTATTTATGTACGAGTAACAAGTTTGCAACAGAAATAACGTTGAATAACAGTCAATTATGTATTGGGAGGGAGGTGACGAGTATGGCATATGTAGCAGTTTCTTATCTCTATGGACGAGATTTTTTCAGTCGAAATATGGAGACAGCAGAAGTATTGGAGATGCAGATATGAGGTGATTAGTCATTTCGCATAGAGCAGAAATAAATTTGAGGTGGTCAGTCCTTCAGCCTTGGTGTATGTTCAGTTGAACAGCTTCGATGAAAGTGAAGCTCAAGCTTGAGAAAGAAGCTTTTAACACTACCAGAAATGAGGCAGGGCCCACAAGTGAAAGAAAGAAGAGGAATTAAAGAACACCGCAGCAGCTACTGGCCCATGCTAGGCAGATCCTCAAAACCCAGTCTTCTAACGCCTGACTAGTGGGTAAGGAGCAAAATAGTGGCACTGTGTTGCCGTACCAGACAAATATCTTGGTACTGGGGACATCTACAGCTTCATTATTCATCCACTAATTATGAGTGAGAAGATCTGGTTTTGAGGATTTACCTAGCATGAACCAGTACGCTTGTTGCAGAGCTTAATTCCTCTGTTTTCTAATGCTTCAGGTAACTTAACAATTAAATAAGTCTCCGCTGCCCCGTATATTTTCATTCACCTCGACAAGTCCAAGATTTTGTGAAACAGTTCGTCGATGATTTCGACAGCTTTGCCAAACTCGGGTACCTACAAATCACAGAACGGGTGAGGTTTGAACCCATGGCAAGCGAGTCCTGAAAGTCACAGGCCTGCTAGTTTCAGGACTCGCCTGCAGTGTGTTCGAGCCTCACCCATTCTGTGATTCGTTTACAAATGTGTTATCACGATTTCGTCATCAGTCTCGTACCTACCTTTCCCTAGATAATGTATGACCCCTTCGAGTTTAACGCTCTCCCGTGATTGTAATAATAATCACGTACTTACCAAAGGAAGTGTTAAGGAGATTCAAGAATGGGTCATTTCCAAGTAATATACTAAACTAAACTCCTGAACTTCTGTGCCTGCCAGCTGCCTCCTGTCCCCAGCCTGACTGCTGCTACCTTCATCTTTTCACTATCAAGAACTCCGATGCTGGGCTACGTCCTCGCTCCCTTTCAAAGACTGAAGATACTCTTCTTCTTCGCCTATCCCCACTTCCTCATACATTTAATTTTAATATACCTGGATCATTTTTCGCTGCCTGACCACGGTAGAGTGCAGTTGTGCTCTGCACCCCTCTGCTGTTTTCAGGCGAGCTACCTTGTATCAACATGGCGCTGAGTGTGAGGAGGCGCGTAAATACCATCGGTATTGAGCTGCTTCGTGGGGCGATTTCACCCTCTTCAGCGCAGGTATTACTCCCAACAATCATTAGGGAGACCTATGGTATCCAGGACGATGAGGTGTATGGTGTTGCCCTGAATGGGGCTTACAGAATCTTCGTCAAACTGAATTCCACGTCCGTGTACGAGTCTTTGGTGTCGAGATTCCAAGACGTGAGTCTTGACGCTACTCTGGCTGTGAAGGTGCTTTTGATCGACGTATCTCTCCACTTTACGTGGGTTAAGATTCGTAATGTCCCATTTGAGGCAGATGAGGCTGACATCAGGAGTGTTTTTGAGGCATATGGGACCGTACATCTGGCACAACAGGGCAAGTGGACGACTGGTGCTTACATGGGCCGTCTGGAGGGAACCTTTTCCCTGAAGATGACTCTGAGACATCCCATACCGTCTTACTTCGTGTTGGAGGACTTCAGGACGCAAGTTATGGTATCGTACGCCGGACAGAGACGTACATGCAGAATATGTGGGGCGTACGACCATATGGCGGCAGCGTGTGTGAAGCTGAGGAGGGCGCCTGCACAAACTGGTGAAGCACCAGTTACCAGCGTGGTAGCTGTTGTTGAGAGCCCCACGCGAAAGCAAGGGCTTGGGCGCTTGCGGAGTGAAGAGGTGGAGGATTCCAAAGAAGAGACTGGCGTGTGTGAGGTAAGCTGTGACATAAAAGGATCTGTTACTAGGCAAGGAAAAAGTACAGAAGTGCAAGTGCAGGAGGAGGTGCAGGCTCTCGAGGAAGAGCTTCAGGAAGCGTTGAGGACATTGACGCCGCCTGCAAAGGATGTTGTTCCTGAGCTGGTGAGAGGCACGGCGTTGCCTGTAGAAGAATGTAATGATAAAAACCATAGCAGGGTTGAAGGGCCAACTAGTAAGCGTGAGTTGTCGCCGTGTGCTGTGGAACGAGGCGTGGTGGAGGTTGAGGTACATCGTGAGGGAACCTCAGAAGATAACATGGATGTGGAGGGCATCACGAGGAAGAGAGCGGCGGCGTCAGACTCAGATGATGTCCTGACGGCGGCGCAGAGGTCTGGGAGGAAGGAATAGCACTGTCGAGGTAGTCAAGATAAGAGGCATAGCAAAAAAAGGATGGGGGGTTGATGGTGTGAAGCCTTGTGCTGGCTCTGGGGCAGGAGGCCCTGGGATGAATGAAGAGAGGAGGAAGGGTTGGAAACTATAAAGAGGCCTTAGGTGTATGACTGTGAACGTAAATGGACTGTGTAATAGTGTGAAGAGGGAATGGTTTCGAATGTTTCTGTGTAAATATAGGGTGGATGTAGTGTTCCTGCAAGAACACAATTTCAAGGAGGGAAGAGAGCTCGAGGTGGAGGGGTTTCAGGTCATGACTCTGCCATCTGCACGTCTGAAAGGTGGTGTGGGTATATTGATCAGGGAGGCGAGCCCGTTTGTGTTGCTAAGAAGTGAGGGGGGAGGGGGGGAGAGTATTGCGCGTGGATGGGTGGTGGATGGGGCAGAGGGTATCCTTTGTAAGTGTGTATGCACCAGCAGAAAATGATGTGAGAGTAAAAAGGGATTTTGTATGTGAAGAACTAGTTTTCTTCTTACGTGGTTTACCTGCAGTGGCCATCGTTGGTGGGGACTGGAACTGCGTTATTAGGAGGGCTGACATAGAACCAAAAGGGGCGGGGCACGTGTCGGCGGCCTTGCGAGATCTTTTGAGGGATATTCAGTTGCGGGATGCGGTTGGAGGAGGGGCGTGGGAGGTAGAGCACACTTTTGTAAGAAGGGGTTACGCGGCTAGGTTGGATAGGCTGTATATATCTCAAGGGGTTTGGTTGACATTTTTCCGTACAATAGAAGTAGCTTATTCGGATCATCGGGCGGTAGTAGCAGAGGTGGGGTGGGAGTCACTAGCAGGTATATCTAGGGGATATTGGAAGTTAAATACAAGTGTGTTAGGCGATGAGGAGGGGATAGAGGGATTTGCAACGCTGTGGGAGGGGTTACGTGCAGAGGTAAATGGGGTAGAGGATGTGGTGATGTGGTGGGATGGTGTGGCTAAAGAACGGATTAAGCAATATTACGTAAGGGAAGGGAAACGTATCAATTCTTTAAAATATGGGCTTGCCAACTATTTGGAGGATAGGTTACGGGGTTGTTATGCGAGGGGGGCGGTGGCGGGCACTTATCCAATGGATGATATTATGGCAATTAAAGGGAGGCTGCGTGAGGTACAGGATGAGAGGTTCCAAGCGGTGCGGGTACAGGCGGGGGTGGAAGAGGTGTTATGGGGAGATAGACCTTCATCGTGCGTATTGCGTAGGCAGAAACAAAGACAGCATGCAATGACTATTCCATGGTTGGAGGTTCATGAGTCGATAGGAGGGTACAGGGAGGGGCAGGTCATACAAGCTACGGAAGGAATGGGGGCGTTTGCTGATAAGTGGTATGAGAAGTACTGGCAACGAGAAGGGGTAGAGGATGGGGTTTTAGAACAGGTGTGTGGGAGTGTGGTATGTCAGTTGCGTAACAGTGATAGGGAAGCACTGGGTGGAGAAATAACTGAGGGGGAAATATGGAGGGCTTTAAGTGGAATGCGAAAGGGCAAAGCACCGGGAATTGATGGACTCCCGGCAGAGTTTTATCAGCAGCATTGGGAATTAATGAGGCATTTTTTGGTTAGGGTATTTAATTGCATGAAGGAGAGAGGTGAGCTGGGTGAGAAGCAGGCAACGGCTGTCGTTGTATTGATACCGAAGGGTAAGGGGCAGCATACGCTTCGGGATTACCGGGCGATCTCGTTGTTATGCGCAGATTACAAATTGTTTGCGAAGATTTTGGGAAATCGGGTCAAGTGTGTGGTGGGGTGGGCAGTATCAAAAACTCAGTTTGGTTTGCCAGGGAGGTCTATGGTGGAGGGGCATGGGTTACTTAGGGATTTCGTGGAGGCAAAAGGGGGGGGGGGGGGGGGGAGGTTTGGTGGCGCTCGATTGGCAAGGGGCATACGATACAGTGGATCGGAAAGCATTGAAAGCCATCCTCAGGGGTCAGGGGTTTGGGGAAGAAATAGTGGGTTGGGTTGAGGCGTTGTATGGAGGTGCAATGGCTAGGGTACAGATTAATGGTCGATTGGGTGGGAAGATTGTAATGGGTAGGGGACTTAGGCAGGGGTGTCCTATGTCACAATTATTGTTTGCGTGCGTACAGGACCCCTTTTATAGATTGGTGGAGCAGCGTATGTGTCACGTAGAGGGACCAGGGTGTGAGGTTGCGAAGGTTTGGCCAGTTTTAATTGGGTATGTGGATGATACAACTGTTCTGATCAGGTAGGTGATGACAATGGACACATTAGATGGGGTAGTACAAATGTTCGCAGGGGCAACTGGTATGAGGGTAAATTCCGATAAATCCATGGTTATGGGGTTAGGAGCTTGGGCGGGAAGGGTTGATTGGGGTAGTGCAGTTGTGAGGAAGCAGGTGAATTCGTTAAAAATTTGCGGTCTTATTTATGCAGACGATCTAACTGTGGCACGCATGGAAAACTCGATTAGGATGGTAGAAAGGATTCAAAGACGCTTGGGTGCATTGCTTGTCGAAGTCCTAAGGTTCGAACCAATAGCATTTTTTTTTCTACACACTGTATGAGGTTCATTTTGGGTAAGTTTGATTAGGTTAGCTATTTTAAATTAGCCAGTTTTAGCAATTAACGATTAGATGAGGCATTTATATATATATATATATATATATATATATATATATATATATATATATATATATATATATATATATTTTATATATATATATATATATATTATATATATTTATATATATATATATATATATATATATATATATATATATATATATATTATTATATATATTAATTATATATATATATATATATATATATATATATATATATATATATATATATATATATATATATATATATATATATATATATATATATATTATATATTATCTAGAGAGTTAGAGCAAAGGAAGGGGTAGCAGTAATGTTGAATGATCAGTTATGGAAGGAGAAAAGAGAATATGAATGTGTAAATTCAAGAATTATGTGGATTAAAGTAAAGCTTGGATGCGAGAAGTGGGTAATAATAAGCGTGTATACACCTGGAGAAGAGAGGAATGCAGAGGAGAGAGAGAGATTTTGGGAGATGTTAAGTGAATGTATAGGAGCCTTTGAACCAAGTGAGAGAGTAATTGTGGTAGGGGACCTGAATGCTAAAGTAGGAGAAACTTTTAGAGAGGGTGTGGTAGGTAAGTTTGGGGTGCCAGGTGTAAATGATAATGGGAGCCCTT